GGGGAGATAAGAAACATAAAATAGGGGTAAACGGAGATAGAGAATATTAAGGATAAGAGGAACAAAAATATGATATAATACACAAAAGGGAAGTAAGATACACAAAAGGGCAGTTAAGAGACACACAATTAGGAGAAGCACACAAAGAGGGTCAAGAGGGCAAAATGCATAATTATGCATAGCTAAAACTCCTTGCAACGGCCCTGATTAGAGATAAAGTTTTTGCACCTATTTCCAAGGCAAGAAAGTCTCTATGCACCAAATAGGACACCTAAAAATGAATTAACCCATTGAATATTGACAAACGAAAAGGAAAAAACACTCATATAGCCACAATACAACAACATCTATCAACATCATAGTAATCATGTATTAACTCTACATCATGCTTAGAGATTTTTTAATTAGAAATACTTGGATATGTATTATCATATCTAGCGATAAGGAAACCACATTACCAGGTCCACAAAATACCAAAAACAACACATTAAAACACCTGTATAGAAGAATAATAATATAGTATACAGTTATCCCACATATTTATATATATCCAGACCTTAAAATCTGCTCAAATACTACACTATTATTATTATTTTATTATTTATATAGCGCCATCAGATTCCGTAGCGTTCTACAATGGGTGGACTAACAGACATGTAATTGTAACCAGACAACTGGACGTACAGGAACGGAGAGGTGGAGAGCCCTGCTCAATGAGCTTACATTCTAGAGGGAGTGGGGTATAGTGACACAAAGGGTAAAAGTAAGGGTACGAAGTAGGTTGTTAGAAAATAATTTCTACTCACTAGGGCTGAATTTTCACTCGCCAACAGCAGTTTATTAACTGATTTATTTTTATCACATTTATATTGCCCTTATACAGTGAGAATTTAAAAAGAATGATTAAACATACATTGAAAATATGTAGACAGATCCGTAACCAACTCACCAAGTAATGGATATTGAATGATCCCATTGTTTTAAAACCGCATTAAAACATCATTACTTTTTATAATAACACAGTAATTATTATCTTGTATTCTCTTACAGCATAACAACACAGTATGGGTCATGTTTACCCATTGAAAAGAATCCAGCATTAACATTGGTACTGGCATCATGATAAATTTTCCACTCCTTTAAGTATTCATTTAGATATAGAATTAGCAAAATTACAGCTTTATGCAAATTACACAGATGCATTAAAATAAATAATAATAGTTATAGCTTACATATTTCTGAAACCATTAAAGGAAAAATTACCATTGCCATTTTTTATAGGTTTTTTTCAGCACATATGTCCATATGTACCAGTATCCCCAAATCTAGAGTGGTAGTCATGTTCCATTCCATTCCATTCTGGAATTCTATTGTAGAGTACCCCTCGTGAGGGCACCAGAGAAAAGTGTATGTTTAATTCATTCGCATTTCCACTAAGCAGCTCCTGGGAATATCAACTCATACGTGAGTGCTTCAGCACCTCTTATCTGAAACTCTTAGGGTAATTCACTAAACACAGGATTTTGTCACAATCTAGTGAAATTTGACAAATTCTGACATGAATGGCAATTCTCACATTTAATAAAGCGAATTTATTATAAAGCACCAGTCGGCCGAATGCATTTGGTTGAAAATCAGTGTTTTTTGCATCTGAACCCTATGCAAAGTATAGGATTGGGAATATGCAGGATACTGCATCCAACAGGATGCACATTTGTAAATTATCATTCACTCGCTTTTTACAAGCAAACAATAATTTGAAGTACTATATAGCCGGCTGGCCGCACCGGCAGCCACCGCATTAAAAAGGTGCAACATTTTAAAAATAGCATGTGGGAGTCATAACACACCTCCTTTATGCCCCTGCGTTCCATAATGTAGGAGGGGCATATCTGTTAAACAGTGAGCATCTAAGGTCCCTCCTAAGGCATCGGACGAGGGCTACTAGTTAAAATAAATGAGAGGGACCTAGTGCCCCCAGCTCCCACCATTGAGGGGTGAGTAGAGGAGATTACCTTAATAACCCAGAGAGGACCTAATATCACCCATAGTCGTAAACCCATCAGCAGTGGGTGGGGGCTATTACTTTAAAACCTGGGGGGGAGGCATAAGGACTCCCTAGTTCCTTCTCTTGGTCAGAATATTGGGTCAGAACATTTAATAATGGGGTGAACTAAATCTCTGTTCTCTGATTGGACAAAATCAAAATCTGGATTTGCCATTCTTGCAGCTCTTATCATACATACAAGCAGATGGTCCTATAGGCCATTTCAACCCAGATGTCCCAGAATAAGTCTTATATTTGCACCCAGATATGGCTAAAAAAATATATTGATGTAACAACTCAATTCTTGGGTGCAACATCTTGAAAAATATTATATACTACAAATTTTGCACAAATGTGTTTGACCTTTTGATATATATATATATAAGGTATAATCATGATTACAATGTCATTACCAGATTATTATTTACTGTTATTTCGTGCATATGACCCCTTTCTAAGGCTCAGAGGAACTAAAGAAAACACATGCAGCTACCAGCAGCTCTTTTAATTTACACGTGTTCAACTCCTGAGGTTTTTCTACAGGAGGAAGATCGTTCTTTATTTTACATGAATTACATCTTGCTTGGTCCTTTTATTATTAAAGGAGAGGCCGTATGTGGTTAGTAGGGCTGTTATGTAAGATAATTCTTTTAAAGTCAGTTCACCCTTGGCAGCGCAAGAAAGTAGGTCGCTGATGACGTCATATAACCATTCAACCGGCAAGGAAGTCTGTGATATTTTTTGTTACTTTAGTTGTTCGTAATAATAACCCTTTCATTTATAAAGAAACTAAACAGACATTGAGCTCTCAGATCAAGTTAGAAACATAAGCTAATTAATGTTAAAGAACATACTTGTTCATCAAGGTTTAATGTTTGTTTTCTGTATTCCGAGCAACAAATTTAATTTAAACTAAGTTTAAAAAAAAACTAAAACAAAATGCAATATATGGATTTCTTTCCCATTTTATATATGGTAAGTGTGATTTGTGGGACACGTTTATATAATTTAGAATTTTCTGTTCTAATTTTATAATTTTAGTATGTATCTGATGTTACAGAACGAATGGCCATTGCCAGTCGTCACATTTTTATTTTTTTTAAAGCAACATCAATGATAGATTATAAGCTAAACATCCTCTTATCAGGTTCAAAACACACTCACGTTTGCGGAGAGAACTAATTAAAATATTTTACAAATCCTTTTGTCCCAAATGACTTATATCCTTTATGTATAACGAATAAAAATTGGGGGGGGGAAACTGAATTGTAAAAACACTAAAATAAACTGTAGCTAAATAAAAAGATTAGAATTGTTATGCTAATGCACATTATTGGAACATTAATGCACACAGCTGAAAAGCTTAAGTCTCTTCATTTACACTTACGCAAGGAGGCAATGAGAATATACAGTAGATGCCACAGGGACACTCTAGAAAACACAAAAGGTTTGCATCAATAAGAGACATACGGTACAATTTACAATGTCTGTTTGTCCTTCAACAAATGAAACGTGTGATTTGCATGTTGTTATGGGTCTTCTAAAGACTGTGCAATATAATTGTTGGCAATGCTATTTCTTGGAAGTGCTAGGCGTGACCTGTATAATTATGCGATTGTAGAGTGATATATAAATACATAATTGGCAAAATATTGGATGAGTGACTCCAAATCTCTGGAAATTATTTTTATCCCTGACCATTTTGTATTTGTGCATTATTTCGCAAACTCACCAGTTAGGATGGGTTATCTTTCTTCACAAATAGGCATTTATTTTACCTATGCTTACTTAACCATTAACCTTTCCTTTCAAACATCTGGTAAATTTGTAGATTCATTTTGTTTTGAATTGCAATTCATCTAAATCTGGGCCGAATGATCATCTGAATTCCCAAACTCCAAGCCAAGATGTAGCCGAATCACATACCGAACGAAATGTGCCATAGATTCTAAAATCCACCCATTGCACAAAAAAAAAGATGATTGATAGCTAGATTATTATTATTATCAGGGCCGGACTGGGAGAAAAATTCAGCCCGGGCATTTTTTTATCACAGCGGCCCACTAAAAAGGGGGCGGGGCAGAGGAGGTGTGTTTTGTCATCACCAATGACAAACACGCCTCCTCTCAAAGTGAGCATGTTGGTTCAATGCTCTTCCAGGGCAGACCATGCACAGAGCTCTGCTGAAGAGCTCTAGCATGAGAAAAAAGTCCTGTATTTGTTCTGCACAGTGCAAGCAAATTTAATAACATGCTTGCACTGTGTTTCCTTGCAACTTGTCTCTGGTGTCTCTATAAATGGATACCAGGAGACAAAAGGCCAGGAAAGAGTATTGTGCATGTGTTTGGAGCCTGCTTGTGGTATTGCGTGTGTGTAGAGTGAGCTGGTCGTGGTGTGGTATTGTGTAATAAGGTCGGTTTTAGTCGTGTTGTGTTTGTGGTGTAATGTGATGCATATGTGGCTCAGGGACCCCCTCCCGCCCGGCTCTGGAAAGGGGTTAAAACTTTTTCCAGCGCCGGGCGGGAAGCCCTCCTCCTCCGATCCGCCCCGTCGGCTGAATGCGCACGTGCGGCAAGAGCTGCACGCGCATTCAGCCGGTCGTATTGTAAAGCATTTAGAATGCTTTCCTATGGACGCTTGCGTGCTCTCACTGTGATTTTCACAGTGAAAAGCACGCAAGCGCCTCTAGTGGCTGTCAATGAGACAGCTGCTAGAGGCTTTGGGGGAAGGCTTAACCCATTGATAAACATAGCAGTTTCTCTGAAACAGTTATGTTTATAAAACAATGGGTTAACCCTAGAAGGACCTGGCACCAAGACCACTTCATTAAGCTGAAGTGGTCTGGGTGGCTAGAGTGGTCCTTTAAGAGTGTAGTGTGTGTGTGTGTGTGTGTGTATGTATATATATATATAATATATAATATATATATATATATATATATATATTTGGAAGTATTGTGTATGTGTGTGGTGCAGTGTGTTGGGGGGGTTCTGTGTGTATGTGAGGGGTGCAGTATGTGTGTGTGTGAGGGTGCGGTGTGTGTGTGAGGGGTGCGGTGTGTGTGATGTGTGTGAGAGTGGTGTGAGAGTGCTGTGTGAGATGGGTGTGAGAGAGTGCTGTGTGAGAGAGTGCTGTGTGAGAGAGTGCTGTGAGTGTGATGGGTGTGAGAGTGCTGTGAGAGAGTGCTGTGTGTGTGAAAGTGCTGTGTGTGATGGGTGTGAGAGTGCTGTGTGAGAGAGTGCTGTGTGTGTGTGAGAGTGCTCTGTGAGAGTGCTGGGAGTGTGATGGGTGTGAGTGCTGTGTGAGAGAGTGCTGTGTGTGATGGGTGTGAGAGTGCTGTGTGTGATGGGTGTGAGAGTGCTGTGTGAGAGAGTGCTGTGTGTAATGTGTGTGAGAGTGCTGTGTGTGATGGGTGTGAGTGCTGTGTGTGATGGGTGTGAGAGTGCTGTGTGTGATGGGTGTGAGAGTGCTTGGTGTGAGAGTGCTGGGTGTGAGAGTGCTGTGTGAGAGAGTGCTGTGTGTGAGAGTGCTGTATAAATGTTATTGTGTGTGTGTAGGGGGGGTAAATAAAATTTAAAAAAAACAGTCATTATTTCCCCCCCTCCCTTCTTACCTTTAGCCTGGGAGGGGGGGTCCGGCACGCTGGGAGGCAGTGGTCCCTGGTGGTCCTCGTGGGTGAGTGAACTCTAGCCTGTGAGGCTAGAGTTCACTCTCGCGAGATCCGGTCGTTGCCATGGCAACGCGCCGGATCTCGCGAGAGGAACCCGGCGGAGCTGCCAATTCGAGCTCCGCCGGGTCCTCTCTCCAGCCTGGCTGGCTGGCTCCCTCCCTCCCTCCCCCCCCGCCGGCGGCCGCATGTGGGCCGGTCAGGGAGATCCTTGATCTCCCCACCGGCCCGTCGTGGCAAACAGCGGGGCCGGCGCTAGGAGAGTGCCGGCCCTGCATAGACCGGCAGAGGAGATCCTGGGACCTCCCCTGCCGGCCTCGGCCCATGGCCACCGCGGCCCACCGGGCATTTGCCCGGTGTGCCCGATGGCCAGTCCGGGCCTTATTATTATTAGATGACTGTAACTAAATGTTAAATTTATTCACAGAAGAATCGAGGAGTGACCAATAGAAAGAAAAATAAAGAGGAGCATTAAAACAAATCTATATTTATATATTTAATAAACATATAATATATAAATATAGATTTATTGTTTTTACTTCTCCTCCTCTTTTTCTCTCTATTGGCTCATTTTGCTCACTTGATCTATGAAACAAATGGTGGGAATAATGTTTATATTATCTATATATATTTAGCAGCGCACTGACTGGCCAATTTTTTTCTCTTTTTGGTTCGTCTGGTTCATTTTCGCGAAATTCATCTATTGGAAAAAAAAATTGGGGGGGGGAGAAAGTGCTTTGGCCCGAAACATATATTTTTACCATGCATAAGTCTAAATTTTAGAGCTTTGTCACCATTTGGAAGACATTCCCATGAGAGGTGCTAGAGAAAAGGTGCAGTTAATTGTGGATTACATTTAAGGAGCAGGAGTTAGTACAGAGACAGTTTGTAGTAGTTCCAGTTCACAGGGAATAAATATTAAACTTTTCCTAAAATGGACCTTTTAGATGATCCCTTTCTGGAAGCTGCCAGATAAGATGACCTGTAGCATTGTTGTGGCTGGTTGCAGTCACCAGGAGCAGTGATAGAACTAGAGAGACACACCCATGTCCTCTGCATTCCACACGTCGAATGATAAGTGCCTACTCGGTCACAATATACTGCGTCCGGAGGGGGAGAAAGGAGGCGCTGGTGAGAAGTGCTCATATTCCAGCTCTTCTACATTGCTCCTGTGTATGCTCTGTGGTGATGCAAGGAGCCAGGATATGATGTCACTTTGGTTGTGGCATCACTAAACGGCACTCAAGGGAGTGAGGAAGAAAAAAAATTAATTTGTGAGTGTGTGAGAGAATGTTTATATGTATACGTGTGTCAAATCAGTGAGTGTGTGTGTGAGATTGATTGTGTGTGTATGTCAGTGAGTGTGTGTTTGTCAGTGCGTGTCGAATCACTGAGAGTGTGTGTTTGTCAGTATGTGTCAAATCACTGAGAGTGTGTGTGTGTCTGTCAGTGAGTGTGTGTCTGTCAGAGTGTGTATGTCAGTGATTGTGTGTGTCAGTGAGAGTTTGTGTCTGTCAGTGTGTATCCAATCAGTGAGTCTGTGTCAGTGTGTGTCAAATCAGTGAGTATGTGTCTGTCAGTGAGAGTGTTTGTCTGCCGGGGAGTGTGTGTTAGTAAGTGTGAAATCCGTAAGTGTCTGTCAGTGAGTGTGTGTGTCTGTCAGTGTGTGTATGTGTCAGTAAGTTAAGTATGTCAGTATGTCAGTGTGTGTCTGTCAGTGAGTGTGTATTATTGAGTGTTTCTATCAGTGTGAGTCTGTCAGGGATTGTGTTTGTCAGTAAGTGTGTGTGTTTGTCAGTGTATGTCATATCAGTGAGAGTGCCTGTCTGTCGGTGAGTGTGTACATAAGTGAGTGTCAAATCAGTTAAAGTGTGTGTCTGTCAGTGTGTTCAAATCATTGAGAGTTTGTGTCTGTCAGTGAGTGTGTTTATGTTAGTTTATGTGTTTTTAAGAGTATGAGTCTGTCAGTGAGTGTATTTCAATTTGTCTGTCAGTGAGAATGTGTGTTTCTCTCAGTGAAAACATTTGTTGGCCCAGGTGCATGAATCAGAATAAGGCATCCCTTACACTCTAACTTATACACAAACTGACACACACTCACTCACTGACAAACATGCAGTCATTGGCACACACACTGTTTAAACAACACACACTTTCATTGGCAGGCACAAACATTTTCACTGACAGACACACACTCTCCTGTACATATACACTGCTAATTCTATATCTAAACAAATTAATTACATAATTAAACTCAACATCCAATTTGGCACAGCTGATGCAGATCGCAGGACATCATCAGGCAAATGGAATTGACCCCGATGTGTAATGATGTCACTCATGCTCCGATATCATGGTGACCAAAAATAAAGAAGAGTCCAGCATAAAAAAAGGCAAAAAAGGAAACTCCAAAGCCTTAAAAAAGGCTAAAGAATAAAGCTGTTTTAAAATAAAGAAGAGTTCATTGACCAGTAGACCCAGACTCACTATTAGGGCCAGATTAACATAGGGGCTAATGGAGCTGAAGCTTCAGGCCTATGCCATGGAATAGGCCCATTTTTAAAATGTGTATATGAGAGTGTGCGTGTGTCTGTCAGTGAGTGTATGTCAGTGTGTGTCTGTCAGTGAAAATGTTTTTGTCTGACAGTGAAAGTGTGTGTTGATTAAACCGTGCGTGTGCCAATTACCATGTGTCTGTCAATGAGTGTGTGTGTGTGTGTCAGTGAGTGTATGACAGTGCATGTGTATATGTGTATGTGTCATAGCATAAGTGTGACCCTTCCATGATTTTTGCACTGGGGCCCTGTGATTCCTAGTCATGCCCCCAGGGTCGGACTGGGGATACAAAGCAGCCCTGGAAAATCCCCAGCCCCATAAGTCATTGCGCCATGTACTGTCACATGTAATATGCAAGGCTATGTATATGTATACAGACAAGCTCACACATACATGCTCACTACAAAAAAGTTCACTGATACACAAATGCTTCCTACAGACAAGCTCACGGACAAACACAAGCTCACTACAGGCAAGTTCACTAACACACAAATGTTCACTACAGACAAGTTCAATGACACACAAACACAAGTTCTCTCACTAGCACACACACACACAAGCTCACTCACTAGCAGGAACACACACACACAAGCTCACTCATTAGCACACACACACAAGCTCACTCACTAGCACACACACACACCCTCTCTCACTAGCAGGCACACACACAAGCTCACTAACCAGCTCACACACAAGCTCACTCACTAGCAGGCAAACACGCACAAGATCACTCACTAGCACACAGACACACACACAAGGTCTCTCACTAGCAGGCACACACACACAAGCTCACTCACTAGCACACACACACACAAAAGCTCTGTCACTAGCAGGCACACACACTCACACAAGTTCACTCACTAGCACACACACACACACACACAAGCTCTCTAACTAGCAGGGACACACACACAAGCTCTCTCGCTAGCAGGCACACAAGCACACACAAGTTCACTCGCTAGCATGCACACACACACACAATCAATGTCATGGCTGAAGCTTACCTGACACTGGTAGGTAAGTTACCATTTTGTGGCCTCTTCCTTCCAACGAGGTCACCAACATGCGTGAGGGCGGAGCTTGTGTGTGGGAGGCAGAGCTATCTTCAGGAGGCAGGGCTTGCGTGCAGAGGCAGGGCATGCAGCCGAAATTGCTGTAAATTTTGAAGGGCGACTGACAGGTCTCCCCCCAGCAGCTTAATTGTGGCCGCACCAGCCCCCAGCTCCTCCCTCTTTACTCCCCTTGGACTGACATAGCCTGGCACAGTCCAAGGGGAAAATCATTTAAAAGACCTTAGCCTGATGAGGCCCACCGGGAAATTTACCGGTATCCCGGTGGGCCAGTCGGGCCCTGCACGCCCCTGACCAGGATCCTTGATGAAAACCACAATGGCAACCATGACTGGTGTTTTTTCCATGAGGACACAGATGCCTATCTCGAAGTCCAAAGTCCAGTATGTGGTAATGAAAGTGAGAGGCAAGAATTATATGTGCTGCATTGGCTGTATCATATAAGAGGCCCGTGCAAAAAATACCATTAGGAAGCTCAGAAATTACAGCTAATTCCAGACAAATGGAGAACTGTGGTACACTTTCTACCTTTTAGAATTCTTATTTCCCTATTTCCTGACTAACACTGGTAGCACTTCGTATAGGCCAGACTCTAAAGGCTTAGGTATTTTTGCTTAACAATACTAATAATAATAATAATAATAATAATTGATAATCTAGCTACTCTAAAGTCTTACAGTTTAATGTCATTGGTTCCACAGGGGATCTAAGGACAGTGCCCCAGGGAATAGCTCAGCTGGATAATGATATCCCCTGTTCATGAGAGGCTGCTGGTCTGGTCATGGACATTCCATTAGAGCAAAAATATATTATTTGGGCATCGTCATGTGGCATCATTTGTATGTTTCTGGGAATTTTCTCAATCCCTAGGTCAA